TGGTGGTGCCAGCCAGGCAGAAGGGGTGCTCGGGAGGGGACCTGGCTGGAGGTGTGCAGAGAGCAGGGACTGAGTGCCTTAAGCTTAGTTTGGGGCATCTTGAATTTGAAGGGGAAATACAAATAGAAGTCAAGTGAGCTCTCATAGCTGTAAGTCTGGAGGAAAAATAGGCTGAAGACAGCAGATTCCGAAGTCACTGATCTACACTGAGGTGAAGTGAGGAGCAGGCCAGGAGTTAGTGATCCAGGACCCTAACCTGGAAAGAGGCCTACATTTTGCCAACAAGATAGAGAACAATTAAATTTGCTCAAACTCTCATCAGGGAGGAATATTCTGATAATCGATTGGGGTGAAGAGCTGAAATCCTCAAGGACCAATAGATAATTAATTGTCCTCTTCCTGAAGGCAGCTGTCTTCTGTCTGATCAATTGTAGGGCTTTTGGCTTTTCTGGGTGGGCCACGCAAGGCCTTTAGATAAACGTTGAGCAATTACTTAGAGAATATTTCGTTTGAAGAGGCGCCTTCCTGCAGCAGTGCCTCAAACAGAGCCTGCCATCAGGTTGGTGAGATGGCCCAGCGAGAAGCCATCTGGGCCGGGCGGAAGGCAGGCTGGAGTACACCAGCCGAGGAAGGCGGCGCGACGGGCGGCCTGCGAGGCGGAGGGCACGAGGGGGGGACAGTAAGGGGCTGGCCGTCAGTGCTCACGCCGCTGGGTCAGCAAAGTGAGGAGGCAGGAGTTCGCTTTGGGTTTAACCACGAGGAGCGGGCTGGTCGTCTCTGGCAGCGCAGATTCCGTGCAATGTGGGCCACACAGACGCCACACTGCTGGGCGTCAACCTGCGATACGGCGGCAGAAGAGAAAGGCAGGCGGTTCCACTCGCCTCCCAACAGGGCTCCCCGTCTGTGGGTGGCGGGGAGACGGCGCGTGCACATGCCTGTTTCATGGCCGCTGATCTCACAGCCGTGTATCATTTTGCTAATGTTTCTGAATCAAAATATGGTGTTGCATTACTTGAACTTTTGACATTTATCTGATTACTAGTCATGCTGAGTCTTTTCTCTTATGGTTACGTGTGATTTTACTTTTATTGATGACCTTTGCCCAGTGGTTAATACTTTATTCATTACTGTCTTACTCATTTTGAAGACATTTATATATCATAACCTCTTTGCAGTTATATTGGGAGTAAATAGGTTTCGCAGGGTTAATTGCATTACTGCTTTTAACAAGCAATACTGTTTTTATTTTTATGTTATAAAATTTCTCAGTGGATTGTTGCGTCTTAACAGAAAAGTGAGCAGCAGCAGTCTGAGCCACGTGGCAAGGCGGGGTAGCCTGGGGACCAGTGTGAACGCTGCTTGACCCGAGGGCTGCGGGAACACTGTGGAAGATGCCCCGGCGGCGTGGAAACCAGCTTTCCCCTGGCAGGAAGGGAGCCTCGCTGAGAGCCCACAGCTGAAAAAAACCACCACGTTTTTGGCTTTCGCCCTGCCCAGGACTAACAGACACGGGCTGGAGAAGGAGTGAGTGTGCCCCATGGGAAAGGCCGGCGGCTCACAGATGGCGCACAGATGGACAGGCTCGGGGTTCGGAGGCCACATAATCTTCAAGGCCACAAGGCCGTGCACCTGCTGCTTGGGCCCACAGTGGACAGCGTGATCAGCCCTCCAAAGACCCACTTGGCGCCCTTGGCTTTCTGTCTTTAATGTGGCACAGGGGACGCAGCCTGAAGAGCAGGAACACTGCAGTGAGTCCTCAAGGCCAGGAGTCAGGGGCCCAACCCCAGCTTATTGCGGGGGGAGGGAAACGGATGGTGATGGGCGGCAGTGCAGTTGCTACCAAAAGGTCCTGGGGCACTATTGTTCATGATGAAGACATCCAAGGCATTTCTGCTCACTCATTCATTCATTTATTTTGAAGTTGTTAATTGAGTACTAACCCTGTACAATTCACTGTCGCTGCTCCAGAGCTTGACATGGTTTAATTGGGTAAAGTAACTGCAGAGACTGTGCTGGGAAAAACCATCAGAGGAGAGGCCCATGGATTGAATTCACACAGGTGTGCAGGGGTCAAGGCTCACTACCAGGCTCACTACCAGGACCTGGTCACCTGGAAATGGATGTTGTTACCCAGAAAGCCCAGCACCACACCGAGTACATCCTGAGCGCTCAACCAATATTTGTGCAACACAGGAACAGACCTGGATATCTCTTCTGAAACCAAGCACTGTAGTATTCATCAGTGTGTACTTTATGATCCCCTAATACCATGAGGGTTTGGACACCTTCCATGCTCTGTCCCACCCCAGGGTGACCTTATTTGGTAAGGCCACGAGAGCAGTGCGATGGACATATCTTCAGGCAGTCACTCTGTGCAAGGCTGACTGACCCAGATTTGCTAGCAACTACCTGGACAACATCATCAGAAAAAGACTGAGGTGCAGAATGAGGGGAGTGGCAAATTTGGTGATTTTTTTTTTTAGCATCACATTGTTGCTGTGTTGCTAGCATAATTGTTAAGCAGTGTGGCCTGTGTGCTCAGAACACCTGAGTTCAAATCAAATCCTACTTGCCACCTGTGTGACCTTGAGCAGGTGAGATAACCTTCCTGGGCCAGTTTTCCCCATCTGTGAAATGGGGATAGTAAAAGTACCTATTGTGCAGAGTTGCTGTGAAAATTAAGGAATTCGCTGAGTGAAAATGGCTACATTGATGATGATTATTATTGCTACCACTACTATTATTGTTAGCAGCTACCGAGTCCACTGCTGCTTCCTGAGGGGTCTCTACGAGAAAGTGGAGGACCCTATGAAACTCCAGGAGGTCACATCCCCACTTTCTGGTCGGTGCATCAACAGAGCCCAGCCTTTCCAGAGAAGTCTCTATGTCGCAGGCCTGAGGCAGATGGTGGCTCTGTTCACGCAGACAGGGACTTTGCTATTTTTGTTTTCCTGAAGGGACAGGATTTGCCCTCGCCGCAGTGCAGCGATGTCCAGCTCCAAGGAGGAAGAACTGGCGCTGAGCAGAGGCGCTGGTGGTCAGGAGAGAAGCCTTGTCAGCTTTGTAGCTGCATTAGAAGGGAACCGAGGAGAGAGGGAAGAGGGGAAGGGAAGGGCCAGTGTTTTCCTTCACCCACCTTTGAGGCGGTGGCCTTCCTGGCCTGCGCCCCACCTGGCTGGGCTGCCTTTCAGCACAGCCCTGCTATGGACATTGGCCCATGTAACTTTAAACAAGTATTTCACACAGAACAAGGTGACTTTGTCTTTTTTTCCTGCCTGTTCTTCCCCTCCCATCCTGCAAGCTGGGAGGTGAGCAGGATGCCGAGAGAAGAGCATTGTTCTTGACCCTTTTCACAGCCCTGAGGCTGAGAAGGAAAGTGTGGGAAGGAAAACAGGAATTATTGTCTCCTTTGTTGTTTCTTTAAAAATGTCAAAGCAACCCTGAAAGCATGATCCAGAGGACACCACAGGATTTCTTTTTTTTACATGAAAATATTTTGAATAAAGATCTGTTTTCTGGGTTGGCATCGTGTTTTTCTAATCTGTAGTAGCCGTGAACTGTGGTCATTCCTGGAAATAGACAGAGCAGGACCCAGGGGGTTCATCTGCCCGCTTTTGCCTTTCCAAGGCTGACTCTAAAGTTCTTGGCTCTGTGTCCAGAGTGACAGCTCAGGGCATTGCTGCCCAGTAGCGTTTTCTGCTACAATGGAAGTGATGAGTAAGACGTGCTGACTACAGGGCAGCCACTAGCCACGTGTGGCTATCGGCCACTGAAGGTGCGGCTACTGTGACTGAGGACCTAGGTTATTTTAATTTTAATTTAATGAATTAGATTAAAACAAATCCAAAACATTTAAGATTTTAGCTAATTCAATTGAAATAGCCACTGTACTGGATGGTGCTGGAGAGCAGTCCAGTAGCCGCCTGGGAGCCGCATCCATGAAAGCTGACTGAACGCATATTGTGCACACGGGAGGGGAGGGAGGAAGAGAAAGGCCTGAAAGCCCTGAGGCGCGATTTTCACCTTCCACAGAGGCCTGGAAGAAGAAAGTGGCCAGAATCTGTGCCTTTCAGATATTTGGGCTGCCGCCTTTGCTTCACTTTCCCGCTGTGAGAGTAGTGATCTACTTTCCTAAAGAGGAAAGAGGCCCAGACCACATCAGGACACAAAAGTGTATCTCGCAGCATCAGTAACCTTTCTACTTAGCAGGTCTCCCTTCAGGTCCCAGATCTCAGGGGCCGATAGATCATTTATTCTAAGATTCTGAAGTGATGACCATGGGACTTGTTCAGACCTCGGGCGAGTGACAGTGCCCTTGAGTCCTAAGGGACAGAGTGCTGGGAATGACACTGGAGTGGTCAGAAGGCTGTTGTCACTGGCCAGCAAGCCCCAGGGAAATGTGCAGATGGCCTAGAGCAGGGCAGTGACGGCAGCAATGACATCTCCAGGGTCAAGGGTAGCAGGTCCTTATGACATAATGCAGGAGCAGTGAGTGAATGCAGATTGTAGTCAGAGAGCCCCTGAAACCAACGAGCAGGAGCAGGAGCAGGGTCAGGCTCCAGGAGAGTGAGAACAGGTACAAGGGACTCAGGCTGAGGCTTGGGCCCCAGGGGATCACATCTCTGCAGTGCAGAGGCTGGCTGTTAATAATCATACCTGAGCACCTACTATGTGTTGGGGATGTGCACGCATTATTAAGACTATAAAGCAGGTAATATTATTTTCATCTTATGAATGAATAAGCTGAGCTTTAGAGTGACTGAAATTTAATATTCTCCTGACTCAGCTGCCTGCTCCTCCCTTTTAAAATCTCTTTTCTCTGTCAGGTCTGTAAATGTTGGAATTCCAGGGTCCCCTTCTCTTCTCATCCCCTACTCAGCACAATATTAACTACTCTCTAGGAACTTCACAATTTCCTCTTCAGCCTGAATCTCTCCTACTCAAGGAATGGAAAAATTAACCAAAAGAATGGACAAGGAAAGAATCCACAGACATTAACATAAACATTTCTAATTTGTTAATTAGAAAAGCAGGAGCACAGATAATGACTTATAGGACTGCTTTTAATTTAACCAAGAAAAGAGATAAACCATTAACTGGTCCAATAAAGAAAATGGGAGAAAACATAAAATTAAAATAAGGAAATACTTCAAGAGACCACTTTGCTTAAAGCTATGTCAACCCTTCTGAAAACCTAAATGAAAAATAAAATGTTTAGGAAAATATTTCTTACGAAATTTCACACCATAAGAGGCTCTAGTAACTGGGGTTACCAGACTTAGCAAATAGAAAAATAGGATCCCACTTAAGTGTGAATTTCAGATAAATAAGAATTATTTTTAGTATGTTCCATGCAATATTTAGGATACTTATACTACAAATTACTGGTTGCTTTTCTGAAATTAAAATGTAATTTTAAAATTTAAATGTCCTGCATGTTATCTGACAGCTCTACTAAAACAGATAAATTACCACAGAGAAACATTAAGAACTTGTCAAAGGCTTAAAGAAGCATCATGTTAAAATGTTTTCAGGTGAATGATATGAATCTAACTCAAAGGATACTTTAAACTCTACTTAAAGTATTCCAAAGCATAAAAGATGATTAATGGCTCCTAAATTATTTTTATAAAGTTGCAACACACTGAAACTAAATCTGATATATATAACATCTATTATATAATAGATGTTAACTTCTGAAATAATCTCAAATTAAAACTAATTATTTTGAAACTACTTCTCAATGCAATTAGATAAGAGAAAAATATGAAGCATCGATCCTTCAGCTGAGAACAGGAAATTGTGACTATTTTTAGACAATGCAGCTGTTTACATAGAAAGTGAAAAAGAATCAATGTCAGGTTATTTCATTAGCAACAGATAATAATTCAGTTAGGTCGACTGGTTTCAAAATTAATATCCACATTCAGTAGCATTTCAAGAAACAAATAGTATTTAGCTGTTAAATATAATAAGTCAAGCGATCTCATTTATAATAGAACATGCCCTGGCCGCTGTGGCTCGCTTGGTTGGAGCATTGTCCTGGACACCGAAAGGTGGCAGTCAGGGCACATGCCCAGGTTGCAGGTTCGATGCCTGGTAAGGGTTGTGCAGGAGGCAGCTGTGCAATGTTTCTCTTTCACATGGATGTTTCTCTCTCCCTTATTCTCTCTCTGTAAAAAAAATTTTTAAGGAAAAGGAATGGAAAAATATCCCTAGGTGAGGGAAAAAAAAAAAAAAGAATACTTGGATGGGTATCCCAAGGTCAATGTAACAACCAAGGCAGAACTTCCCTCCTGTTAACGTACTCACCCAGGTGAGGATTATGGTTGGTATGGATTAGGCCATACTGCTCCTGGTCACATCACGTTATCACAGATCACACTGGCCTGGGTCCCTTGCTGTGACACAAGTTAGTCATGAAAGATAGAACCAGAAAGAATTTGGCTGATGTGGTTTTTATTTAGAGCAAGTTACATCATTGATAGTTCCCAGATCAAACATAAGGTCTTCAGAAAAAACATATCAATTTTCTATACAATCGATTTTACATAACTGAGCAATTTTATTGAGTTACTATAGTCTCAACCCTGCATAAGGTGCTGCAGGAAATATTTAAAAAAATCAAAGTTGCTTAAACCATGAAATAGTAATTAGAAGTGAGGAATAAATTCAGATTGGGCAGAAACAAAATGAAGTGGGCCACATGAAATCTTCAAACCAAATAGCTAGGCACATGGAATATCAAGCGTAGGAAATACAATAGAAGTACTCAGGTAACATCCTGAAGCCTGAAACTGGATTCTAATTTGCCTAAATCTCTTCATTAGGTGCTTGTTTTGTGTAACAGTTTACAAACCATTAACAAAATAACAGTCCCTGGGAATTCTCCTCAGGATAAGGGCCTAGCGTGTCATTCTGATGAGTCACCTCATTGTTGTGTGACTCTGCCTTTCTGGGCTGTTTCCACCTTGTGTCCCACAGATCACACCTTTTCAGGAGTTTACAAGGACAGAGAGTGAATAATTAACTGTTAGCAGAGGTGAGCATAGGACAGAATGACAACAGCTGGCTTCTAAAGGATTATTCAGAGATGGGAGTGGGGCTTTCTAATACAGCAAACAGCTGTGAAGGTACATGCAGATGGAGGCTGCAAACCGCCCAAAATTAGTAGTAGAGGCAAAACTTGAAAACATCAGAGCCCAGCCAGGCGTGGCTCAGTGCTTGAGCATCGACCTACGATCCAGGAGATCGAGGTTCGATTCCTGGTCAGGGCACATGCCCGGGTTGCGGGCTCGATCCCCAGTCGGGGCGTGCAGGAGGCAGCAGATCGATGACTCTCTCATCATTGATGTTTCTATCTCTCTCTCCCTCTCCCTTCCTCTCTCCAAAATCAATAAAGATATATTAAAAAAAAAAAAAAGAAAACATCAGAGTTAAAAACCTATGGAGACAGACTAAATGAAGGGGGATGGATTTAGTCCAGGGTAGAGAAGGCTAAGGGCTGACTTCTGCAGGGTCTTCAAAAATACAGCAAAGATGATGTTATAGGAACAGGAGGCACCAAATCTTTTATATCTTACGCTGAAGTTTGAATGATTGTGCTAGATCTGAAAAAGTACATTGTTATTTTTTCTCTATTTATTCAATAAATATTTATTGAGTGTCTCTTATACATCACCCAGTTGTTAAATATTAAGTTATATTTACTCAGTGGGGTAAGGCACTGTGCAAGCACTGAGAGGGGCAGGACATTTTACAAGACATAATCTTTCTCGTCAAGGGGCTATCTTGAAGGAGTCCCTGAAGGAGAGTGTATAATTGCTTTAATGAGGGATTTTTGGATAATGAAGGTGAGTATAATCACATGACCCAACAATTTAAGTCATGTTCTATTTATTATTTTATTTTCAGATCTTTCTCAAGGTTGAGAAAGCTATGAAGTTGCTTCTGATGATGCGTGTAATTTATTATCCACAGAAAATGGAAAATGGAGGCAAAAAAGATTTGTGGGAACAAATATATGTATTTTTTACCAGCTTAAAACAACTAAAAAATGGAGTATGTAACTTTGAGTTTAAGGTTTTTAAATCAGTGAGTTCTTGATTTCTTTATTTCCTTCTGGAGGAAGATGTTACAGTCTTCTGCACAGAATGTGGATTGAATTATGAAATAAGTTTCTGTCAGTTCCAGTCTGCTAGGAGTGAGCACAAGTTTCAAATGACTCTTCAGGTTTCAAACAGCTACGCAGACATGAAAAGGTCACGAAGAGTAGCCTGCTACAAATTCAGATCTTGAAAAACTGGTGTAGACTTTTCAGTTTAAGAGAATTTACCCAGAGCTGAATAAGTAAATGAATGAATGAATGAATATCACTTTTCCTAAACTTGTGCATCCTTTAAGGCTAATTTATTTTCAAATTAACATGCACTGAAATGATTGATTTTTATAATTTGCCCTTTCGGGGGCATCTAAAACAGTTGTAACATAGGACCTACTCTAGGTAATAGTGTTGACTCA